GAAATTAGTTGGCAAGTATATGTCTAAAACAAATGTGCGATCATGTATCAACTAATACATATATTAAGCAGTGTAAATTTTATGTGGTTGTAAAATACTTCGGGCAACAGGTGATACAGCCACTCTTCGTCTGTATATGTAAACACATAAATATAGCTGCTGTTTTCATACTGCAATTGCATCTTTTTCCATCCATAATAATCCTATCTACCTCACTATAATTGTGAGTAGAAATAATTGTTAAATTTGCCATCTACCTGCCATATTAATGTGTCTGACACAAATCTTGCGCAAAAACATCCCAAGGTCAAGGTCAACTGATATAGCTGAGGTCAATTGTATGACAATATATGTTTTCTTTGGCAATTCATTAGACCATAAGCTGTTTAGTAAGCTATAGAGGGAAGAGTGATGATATATGACAGATTAAGTACTAAGAAGAGCATCTTGGGTACAATTAACTGTTGCTTTTGATCTCAATGCAGTCTTATTCAATGATTCCCAGTCTGCTATACAGTAATATATAATATAGTGGTCCGTAAGGTCCATATGGCCTAAATCAATGTGAGAAATGCAGGAATGCGTTCAAGGTATTCTGTTGTACAACATAGACAATTAAAATGTTGTAAATATCTAAGCACGAGTGCCAAAGGGAAGGGACCAAAAGTTGCAATGGAACTTAGCAAGAAAAGGCAAACTCTAAGTGCATACATGGCATACCAGTCAAGAAAAACAAACCCCATATATCCCAATACCATGATCTAATGTGAAAAGAAACAATGTCTAATACCCCCTTTCCCCCACCATTCAAGAACCGATATCACAATCCAAGACCAGAACACCAAGGGACATTTCATTCATACAGAAGTCATTACAATACTTGTTGAAGAAAAATTAGAAATTGATAGCCAATACTCATAACATCAAAAATAGTTGTAGATACAAGTACTCATACAAGATAGAGCATTCAGTCTCAAATGATGTGGGATAGATAAAATCAAGTCTCCAAGTCCATAGGCGTTTCAAAGGGTCAACATCCATTCACAAAAGCTGTCGCCATAAAATACATTTAAAATGTCACAGGGAAGTCAAGATGAACTGACCTTATCAAGGTGATTTGATCAAATGGTAGGATTTAAATATTTTGGGGTATCTGGGTTTTCACATGCCAATTGTCCCACATACTTTCTGATTATTGAGAACATTCAAGGTTCAAGAATAACTAAAATTGGGGGAAATAATCAGGATATCAATAATATCAGTATGTGAATCATTCACCTGGATGGAGCTACACTTGTTATTAGCATATGCTAAATTAAATTATTTGCAATACAATAATGGTGTGTCAAGTATTTGAATGAATTAATAATATAAAGTAAGAGTGCTTATCAGACTACAATAGCAGAAAATATGAGTGAATAATCAAAACTAGAACAGCAGCTCCTCGGAACAGCAAATCCCCAACAATGTTATTAAATATTTTGTTCTATCTGTTATGGTTTAGACCAATATGATATGTGACGTCACAATATCTAGAACATTTGATCTACTGGCCTATATTGGGGTATGACCACTAAATTTCACGAATAGAAATGTGTTTTTCTTCATATAAGAATCGTAACATCATAACCTCAAATTTTATTCTGCTGATTTTGGTCTATTTACAATCTTCAGAAAAAATTGATCATAGGCCCTATATTGTGCCATACATCATCGGTCTTCATTCTTTCAAACTGGCAGAAAAGGGTAAATTTTTACATGTTGATCTGTGTAGCTTTATCAATGGGATAATAGGTAATCATTTGTAAATTTCTGACACCATCAATCTCAGTCTCTTATTCATGAAGAAGCACATGGATTTACAATTGGCAGTTTATTGCCTCCCTTCAGTTACAATAACTCAAACTTACATTTGTGGAGTCGGATCGAACTTCAATTTTTGTGTAGCTGTTACTAGAGTGAGCCAGTTCAGAGGATTTAAATTTATTGATTTTGAAACATTTATGAAATTTTCATTTATTTATTTATACCACAACAAGCTCATCAAGAGTCATGAATTATTATCAATTCATACAGTGACCAGTTGGAACATTGCAAAATGCAAACACAGTTTCTTTTTCTCCATTTTGAAAATTTCAAAAGGTTAACCTCATTTCTTTTGACAATTTGAAAATTTTTCTTCATTTTTCTTCATATTGTTAAATTTCAAAGAGTTAAACCAATTTTTCTTCATTTTGCTAAATTTCAAAGGGTTAAACCCATTTTTCTTCATATTGTTAAATTTCAAAGGGTTAAACCAATTCTTCTTAATTTTGCTAAATTTCAAAGGGTTAAACCCATTTTTCTTCATATTGTTAAATTTCAAAGGGTTAAACCAATTTTTCTCAATTTTGCTAAATTTCAAAGGGTTACTCCATTTTTTATTATTCATTCCTGGATTCAGGTTTGTGCACTTAGCTATTATTCTACGTTCAATTAGCCATCAAGTAGGATAAGCTTTCTATATTGGGAATTGAAATTGCATCTTTTACACATTTCTCTGGTCTGTAGTAACCATCTGACAAACCATGCAAATACAGCTTTATGTATCATTTTACCATAGGGAACTAGAATCAATCTGTTTGGACATGGACTTCAATGGTAAATTCAAATGAGAAAGCCAATATGAGGCAATGCATGAACACACAAAATATCATCACCTGATTGGAATATGAAAGTGCAGCAAATCCTGTAGCCAGCCAGCTTTTGCCAAGGGGGTTCACTTTTTAAATCACTGTGTGAGCCAAAACTTCATGGGGATTCGAATTGGACGAATTTTGCCCAAAAAACACTTGAAAAGTACTCATAATTGTGAAAAACTGCATGATTTTGGGACTTTTGGCCAGGGAGATTCACTCACACCCCTTGAATCCCCCTGGCCATGGGCCTGGATAGTGAATACAGATGCGACACCCAGCACAAGTTACAAAACAATCGTGGCTATGACAATATGTCTGAACTCTTTGTTGGTAACATTAAAAAATGGTAAAGACACTCCATAATAAACATAATATTTATACCTATATATAATGAATGCATGTATACCAAGTATACTGCATACTTTACAAGAAGAAATAATACATCACTTAGATATGTAACACCTGCCACATATGATACTTAAAATAGTATAAATAAAAAAAGAAGTTTGTATTATCTCCATTGATTAACTATTAGTGAAACAACTGTTATGGGAAGATATAGTGTATTATTTTAAACCACATTGTTTTTCAACTTATAATCTTCAAGAGCATTATAACATTGGAGAGACCAAATTTATGAGCACGTTGATATGACTTAATTTGTTGCCTATTTCCCCCTCTCTGCATCCATAGATTTTTCATATTCAGGAGACTATAAATAAGGCTGTGTAAGACTGAATGTTTTATCTAATGACTTTATTGCCTTTTCTGTCTAATTATAACATGATGGGGATGAGGCATAATATCTAATAAATATGAGTTGCATACTGGGAGGGATAAGATATGAAGTTTATTTTGATGGAAAATATTGATAACAACAAGGGACACATATTTACCAAGGGAAGATATCAATATTTCTAGAGGGATATAGTCAACCTGTGAATAACAAATATATCTAATGTTCAAGCTGAATTGAAAATTCAGCATAGGAATATAAATTAATTTGAGAATATGAGTTAATTTGAGTAAATTCGGGAATGGGAATTTATTTGAGAATATGAGTAAATCTGAGAATATGAGTTCATTTGAGAATATGAGTTCATTTGAGAATATGAGTTAATTTGAGAATATGAGTTAATTTGAGAATATGAGTTCATTTGAGAAAATGAGTTCATTTGAGAATATGAGTTCATTTGAGAATATGAGTTAATTTGATAAATGATAATCATGCATGTTATCAATACCATATCAAATGAGATTAAGTACAGCTAGAGCCTTCTGTATTTACGAAGAAACACATTACATTGAGGATATCTATCAGAAATGAATCTCTAGTAATTAGCCGTAAAAATAAATTGCTGATACTAAAAATGATTTTATTCTGTAAATCATCTATCTGATTGCTGCTGCAGATGAACAGGAATGAAAGCTGAACAAGTTCAATTGATTCACCACAACGGCAGGGCAGAAAACAGCCAGGATAGATACGAACTCATAGGAATATTCACTCACATTCATTCTTCTTTATGTTTACAATTAACGCTGACTGAAGCTGCTTTAATAGTGACTAAATTGTTTTTTCACATAAAATAAACTTAATGCTACTGGGTAGCTTTATCAGAATATTTTGAACAGAGGTGAATTATTATGAGCCGCTGAAGTTCTGGAAAATCATATATATTGGCAGTTTGGTCATTACACAATTTCCATATATTAGTTAATATTTGTTTAGGTTGGGATTTATGAGGACGAGAGGTGAGGCCATCACGGGGATGACATTAATTTGTTCCCTGAATTAAAAAAATCCCACAGGAATCTTAAGACATCAACGAGGTATTTGCATATTACAAACTTCTGTCTGTAGAACAGAATGGCATATATGTGAGAGAGTAGCCAAAACTGATTGAACAATACAATAATCATCAATTTCAATTATAATATCAAAGGAATAACATTTACAACAGGAACGGATAAATGTAGCTGTAGTCTAGACTTATTTGTTATAAGTATAAATGATTCAGATATAACTCACTAACAAAATATAGTTTGATCTGTAACTTCTAGCATAACAGTTCAAACAGAATCTATTACAAGGATAAAAATTAATAACACAATATGATGGACATGTAACGGTGGAATACATCAATACATCTGAATTCTTATTTCAATCGATCAAAGTACTGTTAATCAGAAACGTAGATGGAATACAGAAAGAAGGATTATAGGATTATACAAATCCCAGAAAAATAGCTTCAATACAATTGTCATATGTTTTTTTGTGTTTATTCAACAACGATAGACATTGCACAAATAATTCCGATACTTATATAAGAAAAAAACTGTTCATAGAACAAAAATGACATTTGATGATTATTCATTGCCTGAGTGTTTTGGGTTTCGGTTGACTGACTTCAATTGTTACTGGGAGCCGGGTGATGACACGCCCATATATGGTACTGTGGAGGATGGCCTCATGGACCTGTCATCCTCAGAGAAGGATGCCCTTGAGCATGACCTACTGGAAGGGTATGAGTTTGACGACTATGACTATGGTAGTTATGCTACCTATGATAACATGCCTGCAGATGCCTATATAAGCCCAGAAGGTAAGATGAAATATGTAGACAGAATTTCTTGTTTTTTTGTTAAGAATCGTAAATGGTGTCTTCTCAGTCATCTTTGACCATGAAAATTATTCTCACCGTGAATGTAATTTTTGTGAACAGAATTTCCCTTTTTGTAAACTATCACTCATAGACAGTCTATATTATATTTTGTTTGAACCAAAAAAGTATTCAAAAATCCTATAAGGATACCTGAATTCAAGAGGAAACTCAATTCCTCATATAGCCTTATCCATAGACCAATTACTGGAATGATCAAGGGATTCCCATCGCAGTCATCAGGATTATCTAGGACATTCTTAACTCTTTACAGACTGGACCATTTCACATAATTTTACAGTCATCAGGATTATCTAGGACATTCTTAACTCTTTACAGACTGGACCATTTCACATAATTTTACAGTCATCAGGATTAACTAGGACTGACATATCACATAATTTTGCAGTCATCAGAATTATCTAGGACTGACATTTCACATAATTCTGCAGTCATCTGGATTATCTAAGACATTCCTAATTCTTTACAGACTGGACATTTAACAAAATTTACAGTCATCAGGATTATCTAGGACATTCTTAACTCTTTACTGTCTGGACCATTTCACATACTTTTGCAGTCATCAGGATTATCTAGGACATTCTTAACTCTTTACTGACTGGACCATTTCACACAATTTTGCAGTCATCAGGATTATCTTAGGACTGACATTTCACATAATTCTGCAATCATCCAGATTAACTAGGACTGACATATCACATAATTTTGCAGTCATCAGAATTATCTAGGACATTCTTAACTCTTTACTGTCTGGACCATTTCACATAATTTTGCAGTCATCAGAATTATCTAAGACTGACATATCACATAATTTTGCAGTCATCAGAATTATCTAGGACATTCTTAACTCTACAAACTGGACCATTTCACATAATTTTGCAGTCATCAGCATTTTCTAGGACTGACATTTCCCATAATTCTGCAGTCATCTGGATTAAGACCTCAAAAATCCCCAATTTTGGGCTCTCCTTGATTGCCAAATCAACTCATTATATCATGGCATCTCAGGGCTGAGAAGAAATGAGATGTCATGGTTTATCATGATGTGATTTTGCAGTCATCAGGCAGGATTGTAGGACATTTTTAACTCTTTACAGACTGGAGATGTCAGACTAGATGAGAAGATAAGTAAAGTTCATGGCTGAACTCATAATTAACTCTTCTGTGCACAACAATGTAACAAAATGTCACAATCTATTGACTGAATACTGTATATCAATGTGATGCTTTAATTGACATAATCACATTTCTTAGAGCTTTCCTTATCTAAATATTGAATGATAAGTCATAGTATTGCATAATAATGATAGAAATTTACATTCTGTTGCTAGAAGCATGTTAACATAATGTTGAACAAGCATTTTGATTCTCTTAGCCACATGATTTGTCTTTGGACAAGTCAGCAATGATGAGATGGTGTGGCCCATGTCAGTCACAGACCAATAAGAAAGAGGCTCATTTTTACATGGATATTTGATTTTTTGCTAGGCTATGAAGAGTTAAGGAATATATGATTAATAATGCTGTTGCTTGTTTTTTATTCCTGATCACAAGCCCAGATGACTGTCTTGGACACTTTAAGAGAAATATAGCATGAGAGCCACAACACCTTCAAAATGCAACACTGAATAACTTTCAGAATCCAATATAAACAAAAAGGAATCTGAAGCTGAAACTGGCATATCAAAAACAAGGAGTACAGCTGCCTTTGTATTTGCAAAATGTGTTTATCATGTAACTTCTAAAACTGCAAAGGTATGGAGAGTTATGTTATGTAAACATAACTTCCAGGGAAGTAGCTCCAATAACACATGTTCATATAGCTTTTACAGAGTAAACACAGTAATGATTTCATAACATGTAGGATAAAAACCTGACGAGTTGCAACTTACCCCCCCCCCCCCATCCTCCCTCCAAATCAGGTATTCTTTACGATCAAATGAGTGTTTAGTAAAGTTCAATGATTGATGAATCACCTAACATCTAACAAAATACATTGAGATATGTGTTGATGTTGACACTAAAAATAAAGAATATAGTAAAAGAAAAACTGATGATCAGTAGAGAGTGGCCATTGTGCATGTGGGAGCATCCTTTGTGTAGGCTTTTAATAGCATAGTCAGATATGCACATTGGGGCAAAACTCTGTATGCTGGTAGGCAGGTTTCTACTGTTATCACACTAGATATATCACCAGGCACCTATTCAGTAGGGGTACCACTATATATCAGACTTATACTGATATGTATCTATTATATTACTACATTTTCAATATTGAACAAACAATACAAGCTGAATGGTACGGTATTAAAGAAAAGTAGCATTGAAATTTTGAAATTCAAAGACTGTTTTTACAGTTTGTAGTTTTCAAAGAAAAATGTTCCAAACTATTCCCTATGTTATGTTCCAGACTATGTTCCAGAGAAGGAGAATTGAGTCTTACGCAATTGTGCAAACTTTTTGCCAATTTTTGGATCATTTAAATGACATATCTGACTTACATGAACATCAAATGTATAATCTAACATTATGCTTTCCTTCTTAAAATATTTGTTCTTATTTTGCTTTCCCCTCTGAATATATAGCACAAATGCCAAAGGGAAGGGTGACTAAAAACTTTAAAGAAACCCAACAAGAAAAGCAAACTGTAAGTGTAAATCTGTCATAAAAAAAGTAGACCCTATATATCCCAAAACCATAATCTAACGTGAAAAGAAACAGTGTCTAACATCCCCCTCCCCCCTCCCCCTCCAATCGAGAACCAACGAGGTATTTGTCTGAACTACAGTGAAACATTTCAGTAAAACCAATACAGTTCCATTTACTCAGGTTTTACTGTCTTTTACTTTATCGCTAATAATGATATATGGTTGGGATGGTCATTTATTAATGTTCAATAGAATATTGGGATGGTTTGTAGTTTGTGATATAAATAGATACATTGTTTAACATTACAGAGCAGTGTGTTGATGAATATGGATTGATATTATTTTTGAGGAGTTCTACATGATCTGTCTAAATCAATCAATTTATACAGTTTAAGGGAGCATCTCAAAAGTTCAATGTAGGATTATTAACTGTATTTGCACATTTAATCTGTGACCCCCCCCCCCCCCCTTCCCCCCTCATAGCTGTGTTTGAGAAATGTTGATATGCGTTATTTCGACAGTTACACTGCAGTATATCTAACACACAATGTAATACAGTCACTTTTCATAACTTCAAATCTGTTTTTTAACAGTTAAATACAGAGACTCTTGAAAGAAGGTACATCAGTAGCCCTGAAGCTAATATGCACCAGCAGTAGTATTACAGAACTGCGGGGTCATTTGAATGAAAAAAATAATTTGAAAGGCATTTGAATACATGCAATGCATACTCATTGGCTTTATAGCTTGATGGTCTGCCTTGAAAAAGTCAGTAATCTGACGATCTGAGCATTGAACAGTCCCACTTTTTTGATTTAGGAATAAATTTTGATTGATCATTTTTGTATTCCGACCACATTTTAATAGCTTTGTCAACCATCTTGTGGTTTGGTTCAGAGTTATTTGATTTGAACCACACCCCATTTACAAACTTCTCATATTTATTACTGGGTTTAGCGTATATTGGCTTCAAAAAACTCATTTTTAGTCAGATTTAAATCGTTTTGATTTCGTTCTTCTTGATTTTTCGAACCAGAAGTGTAATGAACGAAAAGAGCATCACTAATTGAATTCCCGGGATCGATGTCGGAACGCTAACTTTTAAGCTGGCCAATGACCCCCTCCCCCTTACTGTGTAAATATTTATTTTTCCGATATTGATCTTGTGATATGCTCCCTAAGTTGGCAACAGTAAGACCTTTACAACGAGTTAAAATGGTAATATGTCTCTGAATGAATAACAATACAATAAATGTCAAGAACAATTAATTCACATCGTCATTGACTCAATGCTGTTTGATAGGCCATCCATGAAAATTGATGGAATGTGTTTGAAGAATATGTATGCAGTTCTGTCAGTTTATATGTCAGCCAATTTGTTTTGTTTCAATATATTTACATGCATAATCATTTAGTATATTCTTGAAAATAATTTATACAAAGATCAATTAATGTGTTGATACACTGATCAAATAATTCTCATAAAAATTAAAAATACAAAGTAAACATTACTACAAAAGTACAAATTTGTGCCATTTGCTCATATACACTAGTTAAGCCAATCTGAAAACCCACATTTAATTCCCATCAAATTATAACATACAAAATGTAAATCGTTACATAATGCAGCAAAAAAGGCATCTGTGCTTTTCTCGAACTGAATAAAATGCAATAAAAAATATAATATAAAGGAAATTGATAATATGTCAAATGGTGTGTGTATTACGAGTTACATCATTTAGCATATGAGCCAAATCATATGGTTTATTAAGCAGTTAAATGATGTCAAAATACTATAAATCCTATACCCCAGGGTATATTGGTTCTTTATTCCCTAATAATTATAGTCTCAATATGTAATTAATCTCGTAAAATGAGGCTCACAACTAAGTAAAATTGCAAAATGTAAGACAGGGTATGGTTTAATATCAGAAATAAGTATGATAAATTAAGTGAGTGTGAGAGGGTAAAGATATCAAACCCTATATATTGATGCAACATTTGCAGCTTATATGTTTTCAATATAAACAAGTCTTCTTAAACCTGCACATCGCTCCAAAATGCAATATGTTGACATACATGTATATTGTTTTTGGCTCACACAGTGAGCCTATGGGATCGACCAGGCATCCGTCCGTTGGTCCGTCCTTACATTTTAAAGCTCTAATATAAAGTTTATGTAAATAAAAATTGTTTTTTCTGCATAATATCAAAGAACAATCATTTAGTTTAAAAAAAAAAGCGAGTTTGGGATTCGTACCCGGGCCGCCTACGTGCTGAGCAAGCATTCTATATACCGCAAGGCTACCAAGTTTTTATGAATAATGGCAGTGATTAAACGCTACTTATTTTGAATGCTATAATTCGGAAGAAAAAAATCATATTTTTGTCGACAATCGAAATATATAAGCACTAGTGCCAAAGGGAAAGGACCAAAAGTTGTAATGGAACTTAGCAAGAAAAAGCAAACTCTAAGTGCATACCAGTCAAGAAAAACAAACCCCATATAGCCCAAAACCATGATCTAACTTGAAAAGAAACAATGTCTAATACCCCATTTCCCCCCACCATTCAAGAATCAATATCACAATCCAAGACCAGAAGACCAAGGATACAAGTACTCATACAAGATAGAGCATTCAGTCTCAAATGATGTGGGATAGATAAAATCCAGTCTTCAAGTCCATAGGCGTTTCAAAGGGTCAACATCCATTCACAAAAGCCGTCGCCATAATCAGCAATTCAATGAACAATCTTTGTAATGACACATTTATCGTAAGTATCTGTACACAAGATTTGCCCCATTTGTTCCTCATTCTATAATCTTTCATTAAGCTCAAAATGATAAAGTTCACCCCCGAAACAGCCCAAGATTGCGTTTCGGGGCAAACAGCAGCTTTAATTAGCTATATTGCT